TGACAATAAAAACGGAGCGCAAAAGACTACGCTGAGGGCCATTGCCCTTCGCGGTCTCGAGGTTACTCACTGAACGGCCAAGTTCCTTGCCGGAAGGAGTGGCGAGGTTTAACTCCTTGGACATTGCTTTTCGTGATTCCCTGTTAAATTGAATGGTACAGGGGAGGGAGAGGAATGCAAGAGTCTAACGTTGGTATCCAGCGAGTGACATCTGGGTTTTATAGGTTGCATTGCCGCAAAGTACTACTACTAAGCGTGTTTATCGCAAAGGCTAAGTGAAACCCTGATTCGGCAAGGAGCGTCCGGCACGAGCGCATTCTACTACTAAAAAGCATCACGCGAACATTAATCATAAACGGTTATTCTGGTCTCAGTCGAGGCACCCAGGAGATCGTCGGACAGCTATAGCCTAGTCTAGTATATCTGGTAACCAAAATGCGATGACCCGCGGCCGGCGATGCCACTAGTCCCACACATAATTACATGGCATTCGTCAGCACGCTGGTACCACATGTGTGTTTCGCTACAGCACGGAACCTTACTGAAAGTTCATGAGAGGACATGCTTTAAGGGTGCCTGTCGGCCCTACAGGAAAATCCCCGAACCCCACCTATCACATCCATCACCGCGAAACGCACCTTTACCGCATTTCGCGATAGCCTCAGACTACTCAGATTGAGCGGGGATACGTGCAGATATATGGCAATAGTGCGTAAAAACAAAGCCTTTTTAAAAAATTAACGTATATAAAATGTTGCTTAACTCGGAGCAAACGTCGTGGCCATGCCGTCCTATCACTCCTTAATCTTTGCGAGGATCTCCGAATCCTTGAACAAAAAGTATTCCTGCAAAACTCAATCAGCAAACGCACCACACATCCATCAGAAGACAAACTGACCTCTTCCCCTACTTTGATCGAATTTCCTCCCCAACCAGGGAGCAGTACCCGGTCGCCAGCCTTAACCTGAGTAGGAACGACATTCCCGTCCTTATTAGGCGCTCCAGGCCCCACGGCAATCACGGTCGCTTCAGGTAAGGGCGTAGTAGTTGATGACGAAGGCAGGAAGATCCCAGAAGCTGTTTTCTACTCCACCGCACCGCACGACACCGCAAAAGTAGCGTCAACATTATGTGTAAAACACGTCACGACTTTTCGATACGTACGGTTTCGGGTTTGAATCGCTGCACCAACACACGGTCGAGTAGAGGAATGACAGCCTTAATGGTCTTGAACGTTGCTTGAGCAGCCTGGAACACCGTCCACCATCAGTATCCACATAGACTCGTATCTAATATCTCGCGGTCACTCACCATGGTTTGAATAGAAAGCTGGAGACGAAGCGGGTGGGCAAAGCTGAAGGAAAAGTTGTGCACACAGAACTTTCCCGATTTTTTGGCCGTTTTATTTGGTCCAGGCAAACATCTTCTCACCAGCCACGTGGTCTCATGGACGCGACGCGTCTTGGAACTTCGCCGAAAACGCCAGAAACAAAATTTTCTCGAGCATACCTCAAACACACCTCTGACCGACAAAGTCTAATATTAATGTGATGAGATTTAATCCTACTACATGTTACGATGCCAAGCAAAATAATATAATAGTTTCAGATTCAAACATATGACGGAGTACCTTGTTAAGCTCGTAATGCAGGTATGTATGTACTATGTATATATGTATGCAGTAATGAAGGAAAGACAGGCAGTTATATAAGGGGGTAATGCGCGTTGTAGGCAGGGTTGCGCGTTGTGGGGTGCGCATGCGTAGAAGGGGGGTAACGCGCTTGCCAGTTAGACACGTAAATGCACACGTGCAAGCATCTGTGAGCCGAGCATCGTGCCCTTCACCCCAGAACCATATCATCACCACCAGGAGGCGTCAAATCCCACGTCTCCTGCCCACGCCCCCCATCCTCCCGGACCTCCCCACCGCGTCTCCTCAGAGGCGGCTGCCACCCATTATGTACAAGCATCATCCTCGTCTCTCTAAGCACGCCTGTATCCATAGCTCCAGAGACAGTCTCTGCCCTCCTTCGGTTTGGTATCATTCCAAATCCAGATCCTGATGGACTCCCTCGTCGTGGTTGAGGAATAACAGGCTGGGGCTGATTGGTAGGAGGGAGAACAGCACCGCGGGGTCGGACAGTCAATTGAGCCGCAACAGGTGGAGGATTCACGGGCGGGTGCAACATATGTTGCTGAACGATATGATTGGCAGCAATCGTTCCTACAATCCGTTCGCGCTCCCGAAGTTGTCGTTCCCTCTCTGCTCTTCTCTCCGCACGCGCCTGGGCAGCTTCGGCAGCAGCAACAGATGCAGGCGTCTCTCCATCACCCTCCCCATGACCATGATCCGTACCGTGTTGATGCTCCGTAGGTTCCTCAGCTTCATCTCCCTCCTTCACACTACACCAGAATCGGTGTCCTTCGCTCCATGCTGTGCTCTGACATTCTTTGCCACAATATTTCGCTTTTCGGCATCGTCTGCATTTTGCAAACTCTCGCGGATAGGTCTCCCAGCGCCCACACAGCACTATACTCACTCAACATCGATTCACTGGTAGGAAACAAATCACTCACTGTTTGCACATTGCCGTATTCCGCCCCGACTATCGTCCTTCCGACATGCATTTCGCATGATCACACCCGCCCAGTAGGATATTTCTGGAGGAAGCTTTGGTGGCGGTTGGGGCAGCTCGTTCTCCGTCAAGCTGGGGCGGAAAGTAAACCGCTCTACGAGAGAAAATACATTCGTCATACGTTGAGGTTGCATCGGAGTAGTAAGCGGCGCTTTCTCCTTCTCCTTACCCCGTGCAGTAGCGGATGCAAGTGCGCGAAAGAACCCATGTTGTTCTTTTGCTGGTGGCGTAGGTGAAGGGACAGGAGCAGGAGTATTCCGCATCCCACTGGGTCCAGCAACAGGTTGCTGTTGAGGACGAGGGCTGGAATTAGCAGCCGCAGGATGGAATGATGGGCGTTGTTTATAGAATGCCTGCCGCACATGCGGATACTTGCTAAGATAAGCGAGGAGCTGGAGACTAAAAAGCACGTCTTCGTCCCTGAACGGACCTTGGTCGGGATCGCGGTGCTGGTGGTGATGACTCGGAGTGCGCACTGTGTGCATGGTGGCAGTTGGAGTGGGGTGCTCGCCACGATTCGCAGCTGCGCCCTCGCGGGCAGGTTCTTCGCTATGCGAAACATCCGGTAAAATAGGGGCCGCGGGGAGGGGAACAGCCGTGGCACGGGGCGTTGCATCTGGGGCAGTGCGAGCTCTTCGATCAGCCAAAGGGACATCAACTCCACGGAGACCTCGCGCAGGAATCGTCTCATCCATGGCCCCTGGTGCACCCGGAGGCGCCCCCATCGCAAAATCATCATTTGGCTCCAATGATACAATACCGTCTTCCACACCTACACCCACTGCCATTCCATCTCCACCCTGTTCATGGTGAATGATAATATGTGCGTCCGCATTCACTTGAAGAGGTGCAGGTCCTGGGACTGCATCTGAGACTATACCCACAGCACGGCGTGGACGCTGAGTGAGCGTCATCGATCGTGAAGGCTGCCGTACACGGGGTGCTGAGACAGGGGGAGCTGCACTGTCATCAGTATCTTGCGACATATCGACGTCTGCGTCACCATCATCCTCGGTTTCTGTTTCAGGTCTTGAGTTGTCGGTCGATTCATCAGGTGACGCGGTAGTAGGGCGGACACGATGAGCCCTTGTACGCATTGTGGCAGGTGCGATTGCGGGATCGTCCCAAGCACGGCGAGCAATTATGGTACCGCTGCGTTCACGAGCATTGACCAGGACAGTTATAGCCGGTGTATCTGTACCTTGAGGTGTGGGATTGATAGATGTTTCGGCAGAAGTATCTGCCTCATGAGATGATGATGAGGAGTGACGGGTATAATAAGGTCGTTCACGTGTAGCTACTTGTACTTGGACGGGAGCAGGTGTTTGACCCAGATGCACAGAAATATTCGAATAGGAAGGTTCGGTACCGATATCCGCCATTGTTGCATCCTGAAAGAGGATCAGTGAGGAGATGACATATAACACAAAGACAGACATCTTGAATTGAATCGATACGGGATGTAATGAAGTCTGTGCGGTTAGCGGTATCGGCGGCGATTTGACGTTGGAGTGCGCGGTGGAGCTGGGTTGCTTCTTCTCGCTGTCTTTGTTCCTGGAGTGCGGCCCGACGGGCGAGGCGATGCTCGCGAGATTCACGAGGTAAACCGGATGCGCTTGAACTGGGACCGATGGCAAACCCTTTATGAGCTAACCATGACTCGAGGATACAACCGACTACTTCGAGGGCGCCAGCCTGAACGATGCGACTGCGGATCGGCTCGCTGCCTCTTATACCGATATTAACGATACTCTGAAGAGCCAAGCTAAATCGATAGGCGGCGTGCTTGTCATAACTTAAAGGGTTGATTGTTGGGATAAGCTTTGAAGGGCGTGAGTTTGGAGGAGAAAGACCGTATATGTAACCAGGGATCTCTGGCGGAGGAGGACACAAGCAGTAATCATAAAGAATGCGCATAAGACGCTCGATTGCGCCGTCCATTGTCATGATCTCGCGTATTCGGGCTGAAGTTGAAGTTAGATATGTAAGATGGTGTAAAGAGGTGAATAGCGGAAGTGGCGAAGATGTATCAAGACCTGAAATCAACTTAGACTTGAAAGATCATAGTTAATTTAACTGAACTGACCTCGTCTATCGTAGCATTGAGAGGTGATGCAAACACAAGCTCTATTCTGTGCGGGAAAAGCATGATTTGATTCGCGCATGGCGTGCGAGTCGACGACGAGTGTTATCGTGAATGTTGTTACAAGCGATTAATCGGAACAAGTGATGAATACTTGGTTCGTGCTCGCTGTGTTCGGCGATGAGCTCGAGGGATAAGGGGAAGGAATGTAAGGATGGGGTTTGTGGTTGAGGCGTACGATGACTGAGACGTTCCTTGTTTGTAATTGTTGTTCTTGTGGCATTGTTCCCATTCCGCATCATGATTTTGATCATTCTCTTGATGATTACAATCCAATCTATTGGTTGCAATTATGTTTCGCTCACACGCAAGCCGACGCAGATACATGGCACATATGACATGGCAATACATATAAAATTATCGGGTATAGCATTCTACATTATAATGCACTTGTCTTTCGTTTTCTTGCTTTTCCTACTAGCATTATCCTCATTCTTCCGTTTCCGCTCCTCCTCTTCCTTCTGTCGAATCTCCTGCTGTTGCTGCCTCCGCTTATATATCTCATGCGACCGCGCATCTTCTTCCGCTTGTAGTTGTCGTGCTAATATCACACTGTATAACTCGGTTTTTAGTAATTGATCTTGGAGACAATCACATAAATCTTACTCTGGGTTTCCTTCCATCTCTAGGGCATGCAATGCGCTTTCCGCCGTTTGTCCAGCGAAGTCGCCCCCCACAGGTGTCGAACGAACAAAATCCGAGTCCACGAACGTCGACCCAACCCCATCGACATCTTCTAAGCGCTCCCATACTACCGACGGCTCTTGCAAGAACACATGATCCGTGACCAAGCTGTAAAGCGACGAATCCTCTCCCTCTCGCTTATGCAACACGGAAAGGTGCGAATTTCGGAACAATGCAACAAGCGACCCTGGCTGTAACGTAGACGCAAGTTGAAACAGCCCATGATACGTCAATTGAGACTTGGTACTATCCAGGAACGCTTGTGTCACAAGCGCTAAAAAAAACTCGTCAGCAATAATCTCGCATAGCAAATTAAATCATACCATGTTCGATCTTCTCTCTATCTTTCTCCGAATAATTATCGCTAGCACTACTCGGGCCCGCATAGCCACTCGGGCCGCTCCCCACTTGACTGCTACTCTCTCCCTCTCCTTCTCCTTCACCCCACACATCCCCACTCAACAACCGTCCGCTCGTGATATGATCCGCATCCGCAATGAGTGTTACAGCAGTATCGTAATCACGCACATGCCGCAACACCCTGTACTCCTCGCTGTCAGGGTCAACAAGCCACCCATGCACGAGCTCTATCCCTGCCTGCTCGAACAATTTCAATTCGCCACCTTCCCCTGCAGGTCGAAACGACGTAGCGCCTGTGAAGACAGGGTTCAGGTCGAGGCCCTCTAACACCATATTAGCTTCATTAACTACTATACAAGTTGGAAAGAAATGGTGCGCACTGGTGGTGCTGGGCATAATCGAGAGCGCAGCAGAGACGTCAATATCCGGACAGCTCATGAGGAGATACTCTCCTACGAGCTGCGCAAGAAACTCATACGACACTGTTCCCCGCTCATACGGCAGGATCTCAATTTGCCCTCGCAGTATCAGGATATTGCCTGCGCATCACAACGCGCTGCCTCAGCGTCGATCCTGCGTTAGAGCAGCAGCAACACTCACAAATAGCAATGAATGAACAAGGTCTGTCGAGCAATAGTAAGTATGTGGACCCTAATGCACATGCCGCAGCACCATAATATTACGAGACACGCACCCATTGAAATTCTGTGTTATGATCTTTAATCTTCGCTTTGTTTCCGTGCTTCCAAACGCGATTTCCTTGAGGTACCAGACTTCTGCTCTTGATACATGGAGGGTATCAGCACGCTCTGTCATGAAAGCTACAGTTGGGGTAGTAACCAAGAAGGCGAACACCGAAAGGGCCCGAGGCTCGTGGCGGTGCAACCTTGGTAACCTGGTCGTCACAGTTAAATTTGACACTTGTTTTCACAACATTCTTCAGTGTCAAGATTCTGCGCAAAACGAGCTGGCCAGTCTAGAATTCGAATTCTCACTCGTGCGCGTGGGCATTGCATTCGATAGTTGGCCTTGGACAGCCTTTCCATTCATTTTTGCTATCGCGGCAGCGCGACGGAGAATTCAAAGGATGATTTCATACCATGATATCGTGGCAACACAGTTGGCTTTCATTAGCTACGCATACGATGGACACCAGGACACTAGAAATACTATAAAAAATACACCGGAGGTGAATTATCGAGTGAACGAGGAGGTGCTGAATCAGAAATTACGTGCAGAATAGTGAATTTCAAGGACTCGACTATGTAGTTCTGTCCAAAAACTATCCTCCAGTTCAAGGAGTACCTTGAGATCGACACTGACATGAGGACTCCACGGATATATCACGCCGTTTGAGCCTGGCAACTTGCATCTCACGCCATTGACCATCAAGAGCTGGAAGCGAAAATGCCAACAACACAAACAACACTTCTTGTTCAATGCAATGGCACCATCGATGGTTGCCTAGAAATCCCAAGCCCAAGAGTCAGATCATGCGACTCGAAAATGTAGAGCAAAGACTTGCCAGCTCGAGCAAGTTACGCAGAGCCATGACATGATCATCAGGAAGAGGGATGTCGTGAGCAGCATGGTAGTGGTTAGAAGCCGAGAAATATGAGACAAGGCTCATCAATGTAGCCTCCGCATGGATGGTGCCGGGGAAGGCTTGTGGAAGAAAGGTTTTCATAAAAGATTTGACCACAGCTTTGTGAGCCTCTGAGTCCGATTCATACCTCTTGAAGTATTCTTCATAGATATCATCCAAGGTGGCAATTTCAAAGCCGCAATGTGGAACGTCAAGCAAACCAAGGGTAAGTTTGCCACAAGTAAACTGGGAATTTTCGGGCGAACAAAGTGCTCCTATGGCAGTATGCCATGCAACAATGGCCCTTCAAGTGCCATAAGACGCGCTGTCCAACAGATTCACTAGGTTGTGGTGATAAGCCAACAGACTTGTTCCAATCATACACATCTATGTTCAAATAATTGGTTTGGCAGCAACATGAATGAGAAACCACTTGCTCTGACTACCTGAAGGATATATAATATCAGATTATGATGTAGATATTGAAAAAACAATGCACCTTCCAAATTGCAAGGCAGCTTGCCAAATGTCGAGGCCAGTGTAGTCTTTGTCAAGAGGGTCTTTACAATGTCGGCCTTCCAATAGATATATCGAAACAACATCAGACATTGCTCTGAGACTCTGGCAACTGCATCCTTGAATCCAAGCATGTTCTCCTTCTCCTTCATCCTCTGGGCTTCTGTGGCTTCAGATTTCTTGATTAGAGATATACGAGCAAGAACAAGAGACAACTAATATTCTTGCGCAATAGGAGGTGAGCAATGAGTGTTGTTTTTATTCGGCACATTCCGTAGTATACTCATTCTATTCTAAAGTCAGATAGTCCGAATCTCTGCTACTTGTCAGTGCATGGATCATGTCGCAGGTGTAAACTTTAATGTAGTATTTGAATGAAGACTTTGAGATAATTAATTGGACTGAATTTCTACTCGAAATAATGCTACAGTATATATAATCGTAGCGGCGGCGAGCGCCAGTCCCCGACTCCGATACTCCGATAATACCTTGATCGTTTCTTGTACTCACAATTTCCATGTGAATTCTCATGGGCTCATCTAAGTCCTCCCATTCATAGATATAACAGTCAGTCAGGCCTAAGCTAACATCACAATGTACGAGTCCCACCACAGGGCACCGGAGGTAAAAAAAGACGATAGGCAATATTGGGTCGAGAGTACGGAGAAGGCTGAAGGCGGTGAAAATAAATGAACAAAGATAGTGAATCGTAAATGTCTCAGTTATGTACGTAATCAATTACCACGACACGTCCATTGACAGAAAAATGAGCATGTTTGCGTCTGACAAAACCCTTCTCCCACTTTGTGGGAGTCAGGGATAAGGTACGCTAAATGTAAGTACCCGGACCGTGTATATGTAATCGCGGACTTGTCTATGGTCCGCGAGTCAATGACAAATAATGTCCGTTTCGGACATTACCGGTTATTTGTTCCCTACATTACTAATTCTTCTACATATTACTAATCTTTTCCTTGTTGTGCTCATACCTCTATCTCCAATATGCGCTAACTCCTACACTCCCCCTCGAGCACAGCCTATTCCCATTTCATCTCTCAATCTTTCGAGTCTCAGCCTTGGCAGTGCTTTCGTGAAAGCATCTGCGAGGTTATCGTCCGTTGGTATGTATTCTAACTTTATCGTGTCATTTTCGATGACTGATCTGATAAAGTGATAGCGTATATCGATATGCTTCATTCTAGCGTGGAACTTGTTGTTTGAGGCGAGGGCAATGGCGCCTTGGTTATCTGAATAGATGGTGATAGGTGCATCCTTTCTTTTATAAAGTTCTTTCAGTAATGACTGAAGATATAGCACTTCCCTCGTTGCAGACATTAGCGCGATATATTTGGCTTCGGCCATTGATAACACTATAATCATTTGCTTCCTCGCGCTCCAAGCTATCGGCGATCCATGCAGCAGGACCAGGTATCCTGATATGGAGTGCCTGTGGGCTTGGCTTGCCCAATCCGCATCCGCATAAGCCTCTAGATCTTTCTCTCCCCCCCCAACAAGGTAAGTTTTCCCTTCTTTGTTGCCTTCAGGTAATGGATGATGCGTTTTGCTGCCTCCCAGTGTGACTTCGCCAGTTCTCGCATGAATTGCGACAGTACCGACACTGCTAGTGCTATGTCCGGCCTAGTACAAGTTGCCGCATACATTAGCGATCCAATCGCTCTCTGATACGGTACATGTTGTTTGGATATTTCAGATTTGGTGCCTGGCGAATGGTCTGACTGTTCTTTTGTCAGTTGTATCCCAGTCTCCATGGGAATATGCGCCGGTTTTGCGTCTTCGAGGCGGAAGCGTTCGACAATTGTGTCGACATATGCCTCTTGCGACAGCGTTACAGTTCGTGCGCTTCGGTCTCTCTCTATCTTGAGACCCAACAACCAGGTAAGCTCTCCCAGGTCTGTTATCTCAAATTTCTGGCGCAACTGATCTTTAAACTTCTGTATATGCTCCAGATGCTTTGATGTTATGGCCATGTCGTCAACCAATACCGTTATGACGGTGTGCTCGTCCTGTTCCCTCCAATAGTACACCACTCTATCGACTTGTGAGTGTGTGTATCCGGCTTCGAGGAAAAATTCTTCTAGCTCCTCGGACCACTCAAACCCGGCTTGCTTCAAGCCGTATAAGCTCTCAGCAGCTTCAAGACCTTTCCTTCCTCTCCCTTCTTCAAGTATCCGGATGGTGCCCGCATATACACGTCGTCCTTGAGTGTAGCGTTTAGGTAAGCACTTTTTATATCCACTTAGTGCATCTCCCAATCATTTCTTGCAGCCATTGACAATACTGTCCGAATTGTTGTCATATTTGAGGTAGGGGCAAACGTTTCTTGATAGTCGATGCCGTATTCTTGACGCTGACCATTTGCAACTAGATGTGCTCTCAGCTTGACTTTCTCCCCATCAGGTCCTCATTTCGTCGCTAAGACGAAATGACACGGTATGATGTTGGCTCCTCTTGGTGCATCTACTTTCTCCCATGTTCCAAGTTTCTCCAATTGACTAATCTCATAGTCTATGGCCTGTTGCCATTCATCCGTGTCCGGTCCGCTTAATGCTTCCTTAAGCGTTGGTTCTCTTTGTGCGGCTGCCATGGCCATATACGAAAAATTCGTTTGAGTGTCATCTGGTGAGTCTTCTGTTGCTATATTAGCTCTCTCTCCTTCATTCAAGGCTTTATAGTATCCTGCAGGTGGTCATACTCTCGTGGCCTTGGGTGTTATTGGATCCGGCAGTTTTTGTACACTCTGGGGTGGTGTTTTGGGAGGTTGACTTGGTGTTTGGGGGAGTTGGGGAGTTCGTGCGATGGGCTGGGCGATTTTCGGTGCGTTGATTTGTTCTTCCTAGTTATACTCCCCCTCGTCCAGTACATTGTCACGAACGATGACATCTGGTGGGACAAAGCTAACGTTGCATTCTATAGATACCCGTCTCTTCATTGGCCAAAAAATTCGGTATCCTTTGCTTTCATTGTCCACTCCCACGAACAACGCTTCTTCTGCTCTGGCTTTGAGCTTTCCATGATCTGGTGAGTGCACATATACTCTGGTTCCGAATTCTCTTGCTGCCACTAAGCTTGGTTTAGTTTTGTGCATCAATTCGAAAGACATATGCCCAGGAATGGCACGAGACGGTAAGCGATTCTTTAACCATGCCACATAATTAATAGCCTTGGCCCATAAGAACTTCGGAAGGTCCTTGGCGATGAGCATGGCTCGTGCATGTTCGACCAGTGTTCAATTGAGTCGTTCAGCCATGCCGTTTTGCTGTGGTGAATCATGTACTGTGAGTTGTCGCATTATTCCTTGATCTTTCAGGTATTCATCAAATTCTTTGCTCAGATATTCGCCTCCTCGATCTAAATGAATTTTGTTCAGATGCGCTCCATGTTGATGGCTGACGTAAGCCTCGTATTGCTTGAATGTGGTAAGTGTGTCGCTTTTCTTCTCCAGAAATTCTATCTTCGTCTCCCTGCTATAATCATCAGTAAAACTGATGTAATATAGACATCCTCCTATTGTTGCTGTTTGTGCAGGTCCCCAGAGATCAGTATGGACCAATGCACCATAGGTACGAGATTTGGTTCCGGATTCTTCGGGAAATGACTGACGCGTTGCTTTGGCCTGTGCGCAGGTTTCGCAATATTCCGGTTTTGATTCTATATCGAGATCTAGACCCTGGATTAATCCTTTCTTCACAGCGTCAAGTATCGCAGTCTGTGACACATGTCCTAGTGTCTGGTGTGCCTCGAAAACAGTTTGTTTTGTCTTTACCGTGTGTGCTTGATGCTGATTTTGATCCACAACGCTGTATAACCCGTTGACTTGCGGAATAGCAGCTATGGTCCGTCTTTCTGGTGCTGCTGTCAGGATTTTGCAGAGTTTATCCTTGAATAGGATAGCGAATCCTGCCGTTGCAATACAATTCATCGAGATGAGTGTAAAAGCCATTTTTGGAGTATAGAAAGCATTTTTGAGTGTAATGCTTGTTTTCTTATCTCCCAGAGGAAGATCTATGCTAACATCTCCTCATCCTATGGCTTTGACAATAGATCCATCTGCAGTGTGTACGTCTTGGGCCTCGATTGGCTCAAACGTTACAAACTTTGACCTATCTGGGCAAAAATGGGACGTAGCGCCAGAGTCAATAATTTCTCCACGCTTTTCGACTGGTATGTCTATCTTCTTTGCAATATTCGCTAGATCTGACGTTGCGAACGCATAATCATTTGCTCTTTCGATCTTGTCTGCAGCGTTTGCTGTTTCCTTTTGGCCTTTCTTCGTCTGCCTTGGTCCTTGTCCCTCCTTTCTGCCTCCTTTCCTCCAACAATCGGCTTTATAGTGACCCTTCCTGTCACAATTGAAGCAAGTGATATCTTCACCCTTGCTCGTCGTGGTACGTCCTCTTAGCGTGTTTGTCCTTGCTGTAAACGCACTATTCTTCCCTTTCTTCTGTGTCTTGGGATTGTTTATCTGCTGATGTTCGTATTCTTCTGTAATAACGTTTATCAGCTCATACGAGGTAAGCGGCTGCTTTGTTATGCATGCTGTGGCATTTATTGATGACAGAATTGGTCTGTAGGATTCCGGCAATGATCCCATGATAATGGCATAGTAATCTCTCTCGTCTATGCTTACTCCCATTCCTGCTAACGATTCTTGGATCCTTAACAGGTCTCCGAAGTGTGCCGCCTTCCTCACATCTGGTGTCCTGGAGTTTCCATTGCAGATCTATCTGCACCATCTCTGTTTTGCCTTCGTGGATTTGGCATATTTCTGCCCATATATTTGAGGCTTGCCCGAGGTTCTGGATGCGCAACAATAGTCGGTCTGAGACCGTACTAAATATGTGTTGCTTGACGAGTGAGTCCTTCTGTTGAAACTTGTCTTCCTTCTTCTCCTGTTCTTCAATCTTTGTTTGGGTAGCTACTGATTTATTTGGCTTCAGTGCTTGTCCTTGCAAGTCAATCTCGAAAGGTACAGGTTCCTTCGTCCTACCATCAAGATAGCACATCAGACCTCGCGCTCGTATCACTGTTTGGGCCCTTTCCTTATAGGTTATCCAGTTTGTTTCGTCGTCGGAGAGCTGGGGGATATGATATAATGATGAGGAGCCGGGGAGCATCATATCCATGGTAGTAGCAGGGCTCATAACCTGTAAACTTTAGTGTAGTATTTGAATGAAGACTTTGAGATAATTAATTAGACTGAATTTCTACTCGAAATAATGCTACAGTATATATAATAAGGTACGCTAAATGTAAGTACCCAGACCGTGTATATGTAATCGCAGACTTGTCTATGGTCTGCAAGTCGATGACAAATAATGTCCATTTCGGACATTACCGGTTATTTGTTCCCTACATTACTAATTCTTCTACATATTACTAATCTTTTCCTTGTTGTGCTCGTACCTCTATCTCCAATATGCGCTAACTCCTACAGCAGGTATGTTTACTGATTGTTCAGTCGTACCTGCTATAACAACAAGATTTGAGTAGCATGATGAGGCAGCCAAGCAGCCAAGCCCAAAATTGCACAATCTTGCTTGAGAATTCCAACTGCATGACCTGCTTGTCTGTCGGACCTTGCTTACGCGTCCTGAGGCCTTTCCAAGTGAAGCTGTCAGGTGGTATGGAAATCAGGCCAAACCATGTGGGTGCATCAAACCAGTGAGTGTCCGAGAGTTCATTGGCCTCTGGCATCCAATCACACAACTTTTGGGCCATGTGGACGTCCCATGTCTTCTGGTCCAAAAAAATTCGTGTGAACAGGTTATGAAAACAACGACCAACAATGAATCTGCATAATGCAAAGAGGTTGGCTGAGTCTTGGTCATCCTCCATCAGGAAAACCCTCTGCTACAAATTTAGGCTAAGTATGCAAAACTTTCTCTAATTTATGATAATTTCGATAAAATAGACAACTTATATGTAATGTAGAATAATGTAACGAAAAAATTTGCGCATCATCTAAGTGTCACAAAACTATGCCTATCAATATAACAATTAACGAAGAAGGTGTCACATTCTTCAAGAACATTGTTGACTGTCCAGTGTCGTGGTGCAACAGCTCCAAACCTTGGCATGAGATGGATGCTGCGGGTAATATTGGACACCGGAATGATACTCGCGACTCTCTCACCAGACTTGATTAACCGACTAATTTTGTACATGCCGTGTCTGGGATCCGGTGTTGCAGGAAAGGGGGTAAACCACTCCACATACGCGAGATGCTTTGGGGGCTGGTTTGTTGGAGGGAACAAAAACTGTGTTGCTGATGCCGGAATTGAGAAAACAAGATGAATTTGACCTACACGGAAGCCTAGAAACATTATTATTCAAGCATGACGACACAAGCCTTTAAGTTATACCTTTAACCCCAACAAAACTACCAGTACCATCATTGATAAGTGCAGTATCAATGCGTGCTGGTACCACGTCATTTTCGCGTCGGGCATTGCGATGGGGTCTAGCATGTATACTATCCACTGCGACAAGCGGATCGCTGTGTCCCCGAGCATCGGTCGACAACCACTTTATCTTGTGATACACAGGAACAGCGTGGAAAGGCAGATGAATACCTGCAGCAAGGTTTTCCAGGCGCTGGCGAGTAATCACCTCATTTGGATTCTGTTGTTGTGCGATGTAACGAGCGAGGGCCTGTCGGAAGTAGGTTGCACCATAGTCAGTGATCAATTTTTGAATGGGGACGGCTTTAGCGCTTGGATGCTTTGTCAATTGCTGGGTGCGATCAAAGCGTAAGTCAGGTGGATGCGGATGATGAGGAGCACGATCCCCGTCAAGACACCATTTTATGAACTGCTCATGACGAGCGATCTTCTCCTTCCGCTCTAGCCACTTCGTCATCTGTATAAATTCATCCTTATGATTGGTTGCACGGTAGGCATCCTTGGCAAGATCAATATGTAGCCGCTCCGTGTACTCCGTATTATAATTATCTGTCGTCCCAAAAGTTTGAATCATAGTCAAGTAGTGGCGTCCTGAGTGGAGCTTCGGGAGGTTGAAATTGGTTCGTATTCTGAGGTCAATGAATATCAATATCTCCTTGTTGTCGTGAAAGAGAGCACAAGCTTCATCCAGTAAAAGCAGCGTCTCAGAACTATGACATGGGTACTGAGCGAGGTAAAGGAAGTCGAGAAGACCGCGCACAGCCTTGAGGAGGCGAGACGAAGCAAGGTTTCCAGGAAGTCGAGTATCGATGATGATACCGAGGAGAAATCGGCATATTTGACTGTGTTCAGTACCGCTGAGACGTGAGAGGCTGGTGATATACTTCATGAATATTCAAATATGATGATTGGGAGGTAAGCGACGACATCGTGCATCAATCTCTGCTGCACCACATGCTTGTGCGAGCCATCCAAGCAGATGTTTGATAAGACCTTGATACAACTGATGTAGTACGTCAGGTGTGACTGCCTGAAAAATATTTGCATGAGGGAGGTCCTCCCAGTATGGGTGTATAATGGGTTTGATTCCAGCTTCACGACATGCCTGTACAAACACCAGGTCACCGTCGTCAATCCTGGAAAGAGCGTCCAAAACAGCGTGAAGGTCGCGTATTTCAAATGGTGCCGTGTTACTCCCGAGTTCCTTTGTAGGAATGTCACATTTTGGGCATTCCATTGCCTTCACTCCAGTAGCGAGCAATTGCTCGGGATAGTCGCCTGCAAAGCACGCGAACAAAGGATGACAATGACGTTCCACGCCATCACCACTACTCATTACCAGCCCATCAGTACCAGCAGTCTTAAGTGGAGCCAGTATGCGACTCATACAGGCATGATAAAGGTTTGAAATAGTACGGCATCTTGAAGCTTTATTTGCGATGTGCTCAAGGCGGGTAGTGGGCAAGTATGCCAAGAGGATATGGGCGCGACGGGATGGCTTTCAGTGAATTTCTTTTGGAATGTTACCAATGGTGAGATAGACGGGATAGGCACTTTTATTCCTGAACATCGTCACCTGGGTTTTATCGCTCGATATAATAATGGGAATGATTGTGGCGCCTGGACGTCGTTGATCAAGCGCTCTCTAAAAAGTATCATATTAACAAAATAGGTAGATGCTGATTTATGATAGTTTGCTTACTTGCATGTCCCACCACCACTGGCCGGTATGCATGTCATGAAACAACCGTACAGTTTGATCTTCATCAGCGTAGTGATGCTCGGGTGCAAATACTAGAAAATCAGCAAAGTCAGGGTCACTGTACAGCGCTTTGATACATTCAATAATGTCTCTGTAGAAGACATTGAATGCTTCCCCCGCAACAATGATTTGTTCACGCTTGAACTTTGGTCGCCCGGGAAGGTTGTTGTCGATGATCTTGTCTAGCTCTTTTGAATTCTTATATGAGAGGCCAAGACGATCACTGAGCTATATACATAGATGTCAGTCAAGAATGTGTACCTGTGTACCTGTGCACCGGCACTTACTCCTTCAATTTCAAGCAAGTCAGTAAATGCTGTTGAGCTAGAACCATGTAGCTTCGCCCATTTGGCGATATCCCAGTCCATTTGGGAGGAAAAGGGGGCATAAATGTTTACAGTGCTGCCAGAATCAAGTCCATATGTGGCATTTGCACAGCGAGTAGGTCGTCCAGTTATGGGTTTACCTGCGCGTGCATCCGGATATGGTACGACAACAATATTATCTTGCCCTACAACATGTTCTTCTATCTGCTGGCGAGCTTCAATATCATATACCTCTTCAGCGCCCTGATCATCTTCATCTACAGGAGGCTCCCGTTCATTCTCATCCTGTGTGGGAGGTTCCCACTCGCCTGAGTCATACAGGCCCTCCTCTTCATCGGTGGAATTATTTCTATCATCACTCAGCCACTCTATATCATCTTCTCCGTAAGTACCGAAAAAGTCATCCTCGAATATGGGTTCAAGTTGATCCTCTGTGGGAGCCAGTGAAGGTGACCATGGACTCCTCGGCTGGGTGTTGGCAGTGCGAGAAGCTGCGAGAACAGCCATGCAAGATCCCTGTCTAGTCTTGGCTAAATGTTGACTGTAGCCTGTCACTGAAAATGATTCTTGACATCCAGAACAATTGACCATTTTGTCTGTATTGAGAATTGAGATCTGTTGAGATGGTACGCTGCTTCGGACTTCCCGTGACTTCCCATTCAACGGAGTCCTTTCGGACTCCACTGATACATCAATATCCCAACACATGTCGCCATATACATCATAAGCTCCGAATTGGTACGCCAGTATCCCTCTGTGTAGGATGATGACAGTCTCTGAGAGTTCGTTTCCTTCTCCTGCTCAAGCAAGCAGTCCACCCTTAGATCCTCCTCAATCTTGCAGTCCCTCTCCTGTCTCTCACAGTTCTGAAACCCTCATTAATTCTAGCCCAATATCCTCTCCGAGTGTCATGCAGGTATCCATAAGTGCCTCAACTCTGAGTTTCTGACCTGTCTCAGGGGATGCATAGGCTGAGCCTCCTGGTTTGAAGGAATCCCTAATGTATTTTCCTGCCAAATCACTCGTACCTACAAGTACTGCTCATCAGCGGTCCACGGGCAATAGAAAGTCCAGGAAGTACTTGCCATATCCTCCCGATCCCCTTCCTCTGGAGCTTCGTTATGCAGGCCGGTTCATGAGCCGAGGATATCAACCAGATTTTTCACCTGAAGCAATGGAGAAGGTAAGCTATGTTTGTCGCATATCTTTCCTTTGTGTTAAAAACATCTTTAAAAAGTTGGAAGAACAGCTGGAGAATGGTCTATCGCAAATGAAAACTGCGACTTTGTACAAAGGGTACAAAGCCAAACTCCTGACCCACGAAGTTGCACGTCAACGTCTCTTTCTCTCAACTTTGGAGGCTGAAGAAGCCGATCTTACTGCATGCTATGCTGATGCCATCCGTGCTGAAAATAAAGAATGCTTTGGTTCTGCTGAGGAGGAGCTGCAATGTTACAGGAGTCATTTTTCTCAGTGTGGGCACCTGGAAGCTGATGACGACAGGAACTATCTTCAAGCTGTTTATGAAGATGAATGCCGGATTCTTCGCACTGTCAATATCCAGACTGATCAAGTTGTGAAAATATTGGACAAACATATCGCACAATCTCTTACGGACTGTACTGGATACTTCCCCATGTGTCGCCGCTTCTGCAATGAGGTTCAGACCACTGAACCCTTCCACGAGGACTCTGATGTTACACCTGAAGGATCAGATGACGTTGAGAATGAACACCTTAGTTTGTCGGATCTTGGCTCTGATGAGTGAGGCGTGGAAGACGTATTTCATATCACAGTAGGCATCTTCGCTTCCCATATGATTGCCACCCTGACTAAGCTTTGTACCAAGTTTCCCATCCGTATTTTTCTGCCTGCTTTTGGACGTCCATCATTCGCAGTTCTCGAAATCCTCGTGTTGGTATCACCGCTTCATCATTTCTTCCCCCAATAACTCAAACTTCTCTAGTCCCGAATTCTCAAATTCTCATCACACGTTGCGGTCACTGGAGTGGTCAAAGTGATCATTTTTGGTGATCTTACATTGTTTTCAGCCTTGCACCTCGCTACCGATTTATGTTTGAGTATGTTGTATTAGAAATTATGCAATTTGTACTGCCCTAACCTGTGCTTTATGTGACTATCTCAACGAACTTCTCCATCAGTGCATGAAAATTGTCAAATTGAACATTACTCTATTGATTGATCAGTTTCAGTTTGTCCCAGTGACTGGGCTCAATTCAGTCGGTATTTATTAATTTGCATGTGTTTGTAGGTATAGGCATGCGCAAGATCGAGGTGCTCATGGTGTGTGCCCCCCTTCCCTTCATGCCACCGCCATCACCTCCTACAGATTTTTGGTCCCTCCACGACATGCAGCCACATCGCGGATCGACAATCTCATTCGATTCCCTCAATGACACTCAAAGTGACCCAAACCAGGGTCTATTCGACTTCATCGACCAACCTGAGGCTTCGCACCATGGCCCATTCAACTCCATCGACCCTCAAGCCAGTCAGGCATATCCTTCTAGTTCATCGTCATATAGAGGCTCTGCATTGTTTGGCAGGGTCTCTGGAGATCAGGACACCATTGATTTCGATGGACTCGCCTTCAGTGGTGAGTGTTATTACGATCACGTTTACTTAAACGACTGATACTGTACTTGAAGCATTCCTTGAAGAGTCTGGAGCTAACACCAGCAAAGCATCAACAAGTCATGCCGGCACCACTGCCCCAATGCTGATTCCTCGGTCAGCAGAGATTGACGCCCTCTATCCTTTACCACCTCCCCGGGCACTGCAGGGGACCGTCGAGAGAACACAACACTCTTGTCGGATCCCTGCGCCATATCCTCTGCTGGAACCCAAAGTTATGCCCCTCAGCACGACTACTACATCAACCCCTCAAACCCTGCAGCATGCGACAAGTGTGGATGTTCCCGTCACCCCCATAGTCATCTCTATCGACCCTGCCCCTCAACAACTCAGTGCACCCGTCTCCATCCGGGTATCAGCTGACGTCCAAAAGCAGATCACGTGGACTGTGAAAACCCGACTCATATGATACTTGCTCACTTTGCACGCAATGGCTGGCAGTGATGTGCAGAAGCGAGAAGTCATCGATCTCGCAATTGCAGAGTCGACTCCATTGATGAATGGCATGAATAGTAAGTTTTTTTGTACGTATAAGTTGCTAATTCTAACATTTAGTTCCTTAGTTCGTGTTTTAAACCCTACGACATTGAGTCAACATCAACAGTTGATTGGGACATGGACCTCCATTTTCAGCAACCTCGTTAAGGTTGTGCGGACCTGTCTTCCATTCGCTTTCAATATCTACCCCCCTGTAGACTCCAACATTCTACCCGATGAATTCCGGAGGCGCGTCATAAACGCATTGATCAACGATCCCACTCAACCATTAGCTTTCATGCATCGATTCACTGTCAACGCTGTACGTCATATTCCCTTCGCATCTTCAAAAATTAATGTTCACATTTATGTATTTAGGCCGGGGATGTCACGATCTTAGACGGAGTCCTCGACCAGCCCTTCATATTACAAATATTAATTCATTTTGTGTGGCGCAGTGGTACCGGACTATCAGAATTCATCGAAGACCCCCTTGAAGAGTTCAACTACCTCTTTGCTGCTATTGGGGCAATCGCGAAGCTGATATTGTTCGAGCAATTGTCACACCCTCCGGTCGTTATCGCGCACATGCAACTTGAGGTGAGTGAGATGTTCAATGTCATTTTTGCGTACATTTGCAGTCTCCGAGGTGCACAGAAGGTTACGTTCGATAATTACAAATCTTACGGTTGCAGAATTGGACACTCTCAGCAACCATCAACAACTGTATTAGCACCACTTGACATTTTTTTCACATAGTAGGCCTTTTGGTATTGCTTTACTGTACTTAGACCTCTGAGCCGGTTCTTCCATTCCTCTGATGATATGACAGCATCGCTGACTGAGTCCTCATGTGCGGTCCGTCTTATCCCGTAACATGTTGCCTCACTCGGTATCAATACTCGGGACTTGCTACCATATTTGACTTGAAGAACAGATATTGTACGTACTACCTGAACTAATCCAAAAGGGACCCTCAAAAGTATGGATGCTAGTAGCTATAAATCAATCTCGGCTGGCAGACAGGTAGGTATTCCCGCATCTACATTCTTTGAAAATTGTTCACTCATTGGTATATTTTAGCATGCCTAGTGATATCACATCTGGCCGAAATAAGTGCTCACTGTGCACCACCGTTTGCCAATCCAGACAACAAATTGCATATTTTTGCAGGCATTTGACCTGCTGTAGAGACTCATGTGTCTCATGGTCTGATATGACAGCTTTACACTAGGAAGTACATAGCATGAACTTGTAGTGTCACTCTGTGCGCTACCCGCAGCTATCTCTATATGAGGCGCAGCTTTCCCGTGCAACGCGCGCCATGCGCACACCATTCCCGCGCTTCACGATGTATGCGCGCGCGCGCGTTCCCGCGCTTGTGCGCCCTATAGCGCCAGCCATTCAGATGCATCCATCCACTGTCCACCAAGCTCCCTAGTACGTATATTTCCATTTCCTTCATTAGCATAGTTCCACCTTTATTTTTATCATAGTTTCTCACTCATATATATTTTTACATACCTACTCGGTAGCGCTTCGGCTCTGCATGACCGCACTATATAAGCGCCAGCAGTACATACTACACTTTACCTTACTTTACCTCCCATTTACTTATTACTACTTACTTACTACTTAGCAGAACATAGTAGAACTCTATCTGTTTACACCTCGCATCTCTCTTCTCTTATCTAGTATCATATCATCACTTAAGTCTAACCTCTCTGTTGTTTCTGCATACGCACGCGCGCTTTCCTGCGCTTCGCGCTAATACACGCGCGTGTTCCCGCGCCTTGCGCGCACCTGCGCTTTCTCGCGCTTCGCTTCAGCGCGTACCTGTAGATCTTCGCTGCACTCACTTCCCCTATAGGGTCGAACGCACTTGCCATCTCAAGTATCGCAGACTAGGCAATGCACGACCTACAACATTTATAGATACAGCTAGGAGCTATCTTTGTTCCAGGCAGTATTGTTGTTTCTACACCGCGAAAAAAGGGCGATGGAGAATGCTGGTAAGTTTGTTAAAAATTGAACGGACCTGGAATAAACTCACTTACTGCACACTGTACTAGTCTGGAGGACCGACATGCATCAAAAAAGACAGCACCCTCTCGTAACACAACAGCGGGCCAAGAAAGCATGCAATTCACTTGCATCAAAGGGAGTCAGTTATTCAGCAATCTCTCAGGCTAGCAAGCGTAAAGGTAAGTGCAGTGTTCTACACACTGGTATGCACTCACCAGACGCATCTGCAGAGTCCGATGAAGGCAGCATGGGTATTGGGAGGCAGGGGCCACCACAAAAGAAAGGTACACCTTTTATTACCTCAAGTCAGTTCAGCGTGATGCATCTGTACTTGCAGCACGAAAAGAAACCGAACAGCAGCTAACTTCAGCTCGAACCTCCCAAGATGCGTCTTGCATGATCAATGACGCGTTTTTAGCAGATGAAGATATCTCTGATTATAAACCTAGTGGCGACTCAGAGTTGGATACTGACGCAGAAACTGACGATGACTTAGAGGAACTGGAGTCCGTTGTAAAGTTCTTGTCAGCTGAAGTAAGTACTACTACTGTTCTAGATTGCTGACCGCACATTCAATCAATATCACTCAGATACCAAAATTTGTCTCGACATCAGAGGCTGAAAGGCGTGACTTCCCGCTTACCCAACCAACCTGGCCTCATACATCTGAGTCTGCACCAAAGCTGACACAGAAAACTGAATCATTTCTGTCTAAATCAACTGTGGCTACCAAGGTCAGCTGATTTTTTAACTTGCAACTCGAAGTACACTCTGCTATTTATGCTAACAAAACTTATACCTCAATAGTTGAGGCAGATGGCTGAACCATCTCCCATGGCTTCCAGGGTAAGTCTTTGCCTTGATGCCATCTGTGCTGAAAATAAAACTAATGCCTCATAGTCAAGGCAAACAGCTGAACCTTTCCCCTTCTCGTTGGCCCAACCAAAGGCTCCCATGGTTTCTAGGGTAAGTCTTTGCCTCGATGCCATCCGTGCTGAAAATAAAACTAATGCCTCATAGTCAAGGCAAACAGCTGAACCTTTCCCCTTCTCGTCAGCCCAACCAAAGGCTCCCATGGCTTCCAGGGTAAGTCTTTGCCTCGATGCCATCCGTGCTGAAAATAAAACTAATGCCTCGTAGTCAAGGCAGACAGCTGAACCTTTCCCCTTCTCGTTGGCCCAACCAAAGGCTCCCATGGCTTCCAGGGTAAGTATTGCCTCGATGCCATCCGTGCTGAAAATGATACTCATTAACTGACACCTTCAACAGGCAAAGGCTCAGTCTGCGCGTGATCGTAAACGAGAAAATGAGGTAAATTCACTTCTCTGATGGTTCCTGTTTTGATTGATGTTATGCGCTGCAGACACCTGTTTGGGTAGATCATTCCAATGATGTGGAGGAACTCGAGGCTGCGTCAAATGACTATGCTGATCCGAAGTCTCCAAACAACAACATTTTGGTACTAGATGATGATGATGATGATGATGACGACGACCATCATGGTCATTCTCAGGGGCCCAAACTTGTACGGAGCGCAAAGCCTGGAAAGTTAAAACTCACAGACCAGGATGACAGCACCCAACGTGTTGTCCAACGAGCGATACTGGAAGCCAAGGTTCATATGACCTTTATCAATGGCTATCCAGACATCACCGAGAAAAACCAATTTACACAAGATGCCCTCTTAACTGCAGCTCGCACCTGTGGCGTCACACCCATCTATGATCGCCTCAAGACTAACGAGTTGTATGCGTCTGCACTTGCATCTCTGGTAAGTCATAACTTTTCATAGGGTGCTTAGTACTATAATATTGTATGCAGGTTGATGCCCGAGTGCCGCTGTTTTGTACCGAATTAAAAGATGACGCTTGTGCACAAGTCACAGCGTATTACCGTCTTGGTCCTGATTGCGTTGATGCTGCTAAGGCTCTGCTGGCGAGCCACGTTTACCATTATGCGCAGCGTTTTGATGTAGGTTTTATATTCTATTTTGTATATGATTTTCTCAGCATTGCACGTGGATGCACTTCAGGAGGAAAACAACCCCATTCCACAGGCAACAAAACCTTACTCTGCGGATATATTGCCTTACCTAATGAAGGGACGTTACTTCAATGGGTCCAAGTCAGTTGGCGTGAAATTCACAGACCGTTTTAAGGAGATTGCAGGAAACAAGGCCCAACGGCCTGAGGTAACAATTCCGATGGTTGCTTTGACCAGCACTTCGGTACATTTTTGTTCTTGATCTACTCTTGGTCCATGTATTAACGAGCGTGTACTACTAGGTGTATGCTGCGCTCTTGTGGAAGTCCAACAAATCTCCCTCCAAGTTCAATTTCACACCCTTGGCACCACTTGGTAAAGGTACCGAGGGCCTTTCAGGCTAGGTTCCGTTGTAGGTCGTTACCTGCCTGAAAGCCTACCTCCACAGCGCGGACCGTGGTGCATTTTGTAGAGCCTCCAGCGAGGAGGAGCCAGGAGGAGGTTGCATTTTGTAGAGCCTCCAGCGAGGAGGAGCCAGGAGGAGGTTACATTACGGAGGGAGGCTCGAGAGGCTCAGGCTCACGGAGATTAGTGATAAGTATATGTAACATACCATTGTAATTCCAAGTACATGACATCGATGAGGAGCTAACATGTTTCCCCGCTCCTCGCGAGCCGTTTTTATTTCTGCGAAGCTCAAATATCGATGACGTGGCAAGAAGAAGCACACCTCTTTCGAGGAGCTAACATGTTTTCCCGCTCCTCGCGAGGCGTTTTTATTTGACCTTTTGTGAAATTCATAACATAGAACACACAACAAGAACTTTGTATTCAATTCAATACTACGAATACGCGAATACAAGTAGGAGGGCAAGAAGCAAGAACATGGTTCCAAGAAACAGGGAAGACAAACCAAGGTAATGCTCTAATTGCCTTCAGACTGAGGGGGAGACGACGAGTACTGCATAAGACCAGGTAGCGGGCTTGTTGAATTAGCGCGAATCGTCCGTCCATCCTCAGGATATGCGGCATAACGGGGCCAGTTTTGATGAAGATCAAGTCCGTCATGACGCGGGGCTCGACCTTGATAATGATCATAGATCACCCGGCCATCACGGTATCCTGGGTATTCCTGGCGAGGAGCAGGTACACGACCATCGTGCACGTCCCTTCCTCCACGGTATGCTCCAGTCCCTTGCTCATAGGAATCTGAGCGCGTAGGATAGTAGGGGTGAGGAGGAGGGGGTGGAGGATATGTGTACATGGTGTTGTGAGCATCCATGGAATGTTGAGGCTGACGAGCTGCATTGACACCAGGGGCATAATTCACACCGCTAGGCAGATGCCGTTGAGTCATGGGCTGGTACTCCGTAGAACCACGAGATGGTGGCAGAGGAAGACTTCTATTGCTAATGTTTTGCTGCCCATTAGGTTGGGCAGTTGTGTTGTGCTGATCATGGGGTGCTGGAAGAAGTGAGCGCGGTTGCTCTCGACTCTGAGGGGATGGGGATGAAGGTGTGGGTGAAGGCACCTCCAAATGGTCGCTGGCCTGCGTGGGCTGCGTGAACGTGTCCTCCATCTTCCCCCTCAAAGGTAAATCCCATCTAGAGGTTCTGGGGCCTCTGGGTCCTCGTTGCTGTGCGACCTGGGCTGTATCACGGCTTCCTCGCGGGGCATCTGGAGGTCCTTGCGAGGCATCTTGCAGCACCTCCTGGGAGGTGTCGAGACTTCCTTGTCGTGCATCCTGGGTGGTGTTGGAACCTCCTGGTGCGTGCGGTTGACGCTTGCCTTCTGAGTATAGCGCAGCTTGGCGTGCACTTTCAGATGATCCTGGAACGACTTATTTGGGTTTTGGAAGTTCTACAAAATCATAAGCGCTGTTCCTGGTAGTGAAACCAATGTAGTACTTACCGCGTTGAGTGCGTGGTTGCAATGAGTCCTGTGGGCCATCACGAAGACGTGAAGCTTTATGTCCTGGAAGGAGGGTTATTAGATCTCATATAGTACAAGGGACTTTGCTCACCATCCTGTTCAGTGTCTGATTCAGTTGCGGCAGAGACATAGCGCACTCTCTTTGCGATCTTCTGCTCCTTGCCAGTATCCTGGTCAACCGCTTTGCCCTTGCCCTTGACAGCTTTTCTGCCCTCGCGAGGCGGTTCAACAGCTTGAACGTCGCTTGATGGAGCACGTCGCTTCTGCGAGCGATGGCCTCTGGTTCCCTTCACCTTGCGTTTACGAGAGGTGGCGACTTCATCTTCATACTGTGAGTCTTCACTCTCAAGGGCGTCTTTGTCCTCCTTGAACTCATCCTCGGCATCCGACTCCGAGCTGACCTGTACATCGCTGGACAA